TTCCGTGACCCATTTAAACTTTAAATTATGTTTGAGGTATGTCTGGGATGCAAGGCCGGGTTTTTCAACGTTGGGTCAAAATCTCATTCCAAGAGAATTTCTCACCATTTATTTTGCAAATGTCATCCACGTCATGGTGTACTGCTACTAAATACCGTAGCACACTGTTCCCAATCAAACTGGTTATTGTTATGTATAATTTTCATGTTTTTAAGCTGCGGTGCGTGCAAACAAATCGTCAACACGATAAGGCTGCTATGAATTTGCACCCTTAATGATGCTCTTAAGTCTCGGATCATCTCATCACCCATATTATAGTTACTTTTTATATCATACCTGCTCATTTGCAACTTACACTTTTATGAGAATTGCTCCCAGTGACGATAAACAGCATGTATCATTACTGGTATTGATCTATCTGCTTCCTGCCTGGTGGTCTCTCCCATCACTCCCGACAAGGCATTGTTTGTGTGTGCAGTGACAAAACTAGGTCAGACGAATTCATACAGGCCACATTAAAGATGTGCTGCTTCTCTCCTATCAGTAACTTCTTTAGTATTTAAGATCAAGTAAATGTGCACAGCCAGTATTTGCAACTGTACCCTCCAGTGTTTCCTTCACGCAGTGAGCGTGGATTAGCGGCGAGCAGGAGATCATGTGTATCTTTACGTGTCCTGAGCCAAGCTTGTGTCACTGGGTCACTGCTGAGATATCACACACACACACACACACACACACACACACACACACACACACACACACCCTGTGTGGAAGTAGTGTCGAGATAAATCGAATCAAACAGGAGCGACTGTCGGACACTTCCAGTGATCTGAAAATCTTTTAAAAGCTGGTTCACGAACTAAAGCACACTTCCAGTGGTAGTGTTTAGCACACCTTCTGTTTTTATTTTTCCTTCTAATGAAAGGATTTGCCTGTTCTTATTAAACTTAACTATGCCTGCACACAGTTTCCTCTTTGTGTTTACTTTCTATCTCATGGTTAATGTTTGACTAAAGATCTGTGCTGGGAGGTGGGGGGATCGATGACCGTGCCATGTACTTTGCAGTGGATCAGTGGGAGATAATCTGATCTGTTGTGCTCTAAAGCTGCATAAATCTGCTGTATGGATGGCTTTCACCTCGTCTGTAGGAAGACCCGCCTGACTTTTTAATAAATTCCCCACATTTTTATCGCCCGCCTCTGAAAGGTGAAGGCGGAGAGTATTGTTTTTGCCTTTTGTGTGTGTGTGTGTTTGTCAGCAAAATATCTCATCACCCACTAGATAAACTTCAATGAAGCTCAAAGAAAGGAATCGCTGGATAAACGTCTACAACTGATGAGGTTTTGAAGTCAACCTGATTTAAGATGGCTGCCGCAGATAACTGACCTCAAAAACACCAAAATGGCTATCTGTCCGTTTTACAGGTGTTAACCTAGCAGCAGCTGGGACTGACCTCCAACACATATTTGAAGCACAAACAAATTGTGAGCCATCTTTGTTTACATTTTTTTTCCAGTAACTATTAGAACTGGGCGGATTTAGTGACATTTTCAGGAAATGACCTTTAGATCTCTAACTCTTGGACACAATCACATTCAAGATGGTCACTGCGGCCACCTGAAGTTTGGAAACACAGACATGGCTGTAGTGCGTTCTGTGTTACATGTATTGAGTTAAAACTTGACGGGGTAGTAGCTAAGAGTCATTCACATGTTCTGAGCACGACATCCCAGGATTATGACGTTGCACATAACCTTATTTTTAAGATTTCACCAAAATGGCTACAATTTCTAAAACTGGTGAGTGATGTGATTTCCTTCAAGAGCAGCTAGGTGTTTAGCCACTACTGGGTTTTTTATTTTGTATTATTAAAAATAAAGGCTTTTATCCTAATCTGTTATTTTTGCTGTCTTCCCAGTTAATCTCCTTTTATAAAATGTTAAATAGGAGTAAACTCGGCTCAGATATTTAGGATCATAAGAGCACAGTCAGATGCTGATGGTTCTCTCTGGCCTTTAAACTGCCGTCTCATTCTGAGAACCGTGCCCGTCTCCCCACGGAGTCGGGTAAACAACCACAATGTGTTCAAAATCCTCTTTGTCATAAAGTCTGCGCCGGGGTTATAAAAAGCATGAACCGAGGAAGCCGGATAGCACGAAGCACTTGCTGTTAATGTCATGTTAGGCCTCATAATAGAAGCCAACTCTTTCATTTAGAGTTTATTTAATCTTTCACTTGCATGTTTGTCCTAGAGGCCATTCAGCTGAGTTTTAGATCATGTTCTCCATGATGGTTGGGAGGAAACAAGGCCAGAGTGCAAATAACAAGCCAGCTATAAACGCCACACACTTCTATTTTATTACCTTTTTTATCTTCTGGCTCCAAGTCGTAGGAGGATGGCGGGTCCCAGACTCTGACTCGGAGCTTGGAAAGCCAGATACGGGAGGCGGTAATCTCTGGAGCTATATGGGCCATAATTAGTGCTTGTGGGAAAATTTCAGGGGCACCATTTGGGATATGGAGTACGAGCCACTGAGTAACACCATATTGTGTGTTACATAATTAAAGCTTTAAAATTAGACTGCCTTCCTGCCTCCTTCCTCCTAGTTAGTAGTCCTTATGGAGGACAAACTGCCTTCATTTGAGAGTAAATGTTTGTACTGCAGAGTCTAATGATCTAATTCAAGGCTCTTTATTGTCATTCACATCACATGTACATGAGGTGGACCAAAATTGTGTACACAGGGTCCCAGTTACATCCAACAATAGTAAAAATATAAAGTGTAAAAAGAAACGGTAAATAAGGATCTAAGATATACGCTAAACGAACACCAAACGGTACGCTGAAAGATCTAAGATGTACGCCGGTCACTAATCGTGCAAAACAATACACTGAACAACAGCAGCACGGTTCTCTTAGGTTCTGTTCGGCTATAATTTACACGCTTAACACGAGCACTAACATAAACTGGGATTTATTCCAAGCTTGCAACAAAAATACAGAAACAAGGCACCAAAAGTGAAGAAGGAATACATCTACAGCAGCATGGTCCTACTGGCAGAGTGGTTCTGATGACAGTGAGGTTCTCTTAGCAACATGGTCCAGCTTGCAGCATGGTACTGTTAGCGGCGTGGTGTTAGCAGGTCCCGTCAGCAGCATAATGATAATAAGGATCGCAGCAGCTGCCTCCCAGAATGCCCCACAAAACCAGATCCAGCAGACGGAGAACATCCAAGGTTCCCCCCATGGAACCAAGCGGGTCCGTCGAGTTCGGTCTGTGCAGGCAAGTGGAGGATCTTGTTAGCAGCATTAGCAGGTCTAGTTAGCAGCTTGATGGTAACAATGACCACAGCAGCTGTCCTCCCAGACAGCCCT